ATACTAAAATTTTAAGACTCTGTTCTGTAGCATAGAGAAAATATTGTGAAATTTTATTCTTCCATTTTCACTATTGGAGGCACAAATGAAGATGGGTTTATTTTTACTGAATGTGAAAATGATCATCATCAATATAGTTGCAACATTCTCTCTCTGCTCATTCTGTACTCATCATTTTTCAGTTCCAGATGTCATTTGCATGGTCCTGATGACATTGAGTATGGATATTGCAGAGGAGTGATAGCTTCCCTTTCCTATTGAAGCTGAAGCTTCAAAGAGAAGATTAAAGAAGTGTTTGTTATCTATCTGCACAGGCCTGATATGAAATTCTCAGAGGCTTTTAGGATAAACACAACTCTGTATGTGTGCATTTATGTACTTTTTCTTCTGTATATTTCTATTGTGGTCTTTGTATTTTGGTTTAAAATTTCTAATTTCAGACTTGTTGGATTCTCTGGCTAAAGGAGAATTGTTTTCAGAAAAACAGTATGAATTGGAAGATGTTGGCAGGATATTACTAAATCCCTCCTGAAGAGTATAGAATTCTCTATTGTGGAATTATATTTCTAGAGAACATGAAGAAGGCCACCCATGGAATATCTTTAACAAGACAAGACCAAGATCTTAAAGGTGTCCAGCAGAGACTAATCTGTGGTGCCCTCCAGTGAGGGATGCAATTGCTCACCTTTTGGGATTTCCTTCTAGAAGTGTTCTTTGTGAGCTTTGGAATAGAGGTGTGGCTTTTTAAAAAAACAAACTCCCTGTAGGGTTAATCCATAAATAATATTTAGAGAAAGAATAGAGGGAGAAAAGTTAGGATAGCAAGATACCTTCTGAAAAAGAAGGGAACTAACATTCCACTTCATACTGTTCCACATCAAGTTCTACATATAATTTTTATTGTCAGAATTTTCTTTTTTTTTCTTTTTCTTTTTTTTTTTTTTTTTTGTGACAGGATCTCGTTCTATTACCCAAGCTGGAGTCCAGTGGCATGATCACAGCCAACTACAACCTCAACCTCCCAGGTTCAAGCGATCCTCCCACCTCAGCCTCCCCAGTAGCTAGGACTAGCATGTGCCACCACGCCCAGCTAAGTTTTGTACCTTTTGTAGAGATGGGATTTCTCCATGTTTCCCAAGCTCATCTTGAACTCCTGGGCTCGAGCAATCCTCCTGTCTTGGCCTCCCAAAGTGCTGGGATTACAGGTGTGAGCCACCACACCCAACCTCAGATTTTTTTAAATTGACAAATGCAGTGGAATATATTTAAAATGCACAGTATGATTATATATACACACACACACACACACACACACACACACACACACGGTGAAATGATTACCTTAGTCATATTAATTAATACATTCATCACCTTACATGGCTTACATGGTTACCTTTTTTTTTTGGTGAAAATACTTAAAATCTATTCTCTTACCAAATTTCAAGTATGTAACACAGTATTATTAACTATAGTCACTATGCTGTACATTAGATCCTTAGAACTTATTCATCTTATGATCGAAAGTTTGACAGAAATATTTAATTACAGTATTACCAGGAATAAAGCAGGTTCTGCTATTTAACATCAACTAGATGAACCTACTACTTTATTTGATACTGTTGAGTTCTTAAGATATAACTACTATTGGCAGAAGCAATACTCTTAGTATATATGACTTATAAGATCATATTTCTTCTCGACTAACAAGAGAAACCAGGAAGCCAGGGCACTGTAAAGTAGGTAGAGAAAAGGACTGAAAATGTGTATTAGTTGGAGTGGGCATCATGGGACAGGGAGGCAGAGAAGAGGCTGAGATCATCAATAACATACTTTGCCTATTTAACAATTTACCTAGAGCACCTTTTAACTGCCACTGTATGACTAGGGTTTTTTCTGGGCCAATAAATGAGAACAACATTGGTTAGTACAGTTCCTGCTGTTGCCATCATCAATATTTTGGAAAGAAGAGAGAGAGAGTGTGTGTACATACACATGTGCACATATATGTATGCACATACTCGAACTCTAATTTCTATTTATATTAAATTAGAAGTTGGGTAATGATAGGAATTGGGGGTTAGGGAAGTGCCTCAAGAGAAGATGGAAAATAGCAAGAGCAGATAGAAAATTGCTCAGCCATTTGATGATTTGCTTGATTAGCTATGTTTTACAGAAAGGAGTTTTGTGGAAAACTCTTCATGGTGGCCAGGTACGGTGGAAAGCTGCACTGTCTGCTAGGTGGAGACTGACCCATCATACTATTATTCACAACGTATTTAAGTTTCATCCAGTTTCAGCTTACATATGCCCCTGCATTGATATGGATGCTCCTTCTTCCCAGCTTTTGAAGCTTTCCACTTCCCGCCCCATCCTCTGCCCCTTCCTCTCCCCTTTGCTACTGCAGATGTCAAAGCTGTCCTGGAATTTCCTCACCCTCTAACCTAAGTATCTTACATTTTTCTTCACCTGATTGCCAGCGCAGAACTGTTCTGGAAAAGGAAAGGAACAAGGAAGGACAAATTGTCAGGTTTCTTCTCCACTTTCTTATGTCTGATAATGTTCCCCAAATTCAACTGTGAATTATGACAACATACTTACTCTCCACTGACCTCTTCTGTCTTCATTTTCTGAAAATTTATCACACAGTAAAGAAATAACCACTATACTCACTGGGCTGATACTCTGCCCTGAAGAAGCCAAGCCTAATTTTAGTAATGTATGTACTAGAAGACACACCATTATCACCTATCTCCTTTTCTGCATCTTTTTTTGTGGTTTGTGGACCTTTTAAACTGCAAATTCCAACCTGCCTTATTTTTTTGTTGTTCTGTTTTGTTTTGTTTTTGGCTTTTAGCAGGGTGAAGCCATGATTTTTAGTTTCTGCCTCTAGTGATAAGTGGAAAAGAGGGATGAGGAAGGGGCTTTACTGACCCATCAGAAACAGAAACTAAGAAACCATGACTGTATTCTCTCTCTTGGGCACCACTGCAAAATAATTCTATAAAAAACTGTGGACTCCCTCCCTAGGTTAAAAAAAAAAAAAAAAGCTCCGACGCACATATACACTCCTGAGAGATCAAAATGAGGATAGAAAAGCATCCCTTATATTTGGTGGCATGAAGGTTATTGTGTCTGTAGCAACAGTTAATGTGCAATGGCTCTCAGCCTGACTGGAGGATGTTGAGTAAGTGGGCAGTGAGGGACTAAAATGAGCCAAGTGTAGACAGTGCTTTTGAAAATGTCACTGTGACATGAAGGGAAACAGGACAGCAGGTGGAGGGATGTGAAGGGGTGAGGGAGGATTTGCTTTATTTTTATATGAGCATAAACGCTGATGGAAAGGGCCAAACTGGAGGAAGTGGTTGAATACAGACAAGAGAAAAATCGATAAAGAATAACGTAAAGTTCCTGTGAAGGTAGGAGGAAATGGGATCCAAAATACAGTAGACTTTCTTGGGTAATCATCATATATAACATTGTTTTTGTGGGGAAAGAAATGCAATTTAGTTTCCAAATAAGAGACTTACAAATGATCCTTTCCACCATTGCTATTTTGTTAGTTTAAGACTTCAAGAGTTACTGGATGCAGTGGCTCATTCCTGTAATCCCAACACTTTGGGATGCCAAAGTGGGAGGATTGCTTAAGCCCCAGCCTGGGCAACAAAGTGAGACCCCATTGCTACCAAAAAAAAAAAAGACAAAAAACAGTAATTGCTTTTCACTCTCTCATTGCAACGTCATTGAGAACTAGTAGTAATGTGTGTAAGCATCTAGATGTGGTGGCACGTGCCTGTGGCCCCAGCTACATGGGAGGCTGAGACAGGAGGATCTCTTGAGCCCAGCAGCTCAAGGCTGCAGTGAGTGATGTTCATGCCATTGCATTCCAGCTTGGGTGATAGAGCAAGACCCAGTCTCAGGAAAAAAAAAAAAAAAAAAAAAAAAAAAAAAAAAAAACTTCAAGGGTTGTCAGTTTTGCCAATTATTTCCTAAAATAATAGAGGAGATAGGATGGTACAATGAACTACAAGAGCCCCATTCTTGGCTCAGACACTAAAATGTTAGACAACCTTAAGTCAATTGCACTAAAATGTTAGACAACCTTAAGTTAATTGTTCATGTTTCACTTGTTGTTTGTTTTATTTTGTTTTTTGAGACGGAGTCTCGCTCTGTCACCTAGGCTGGAGTGCAATGGTGCGATCTTGGCTCGCTGCAACCTCCGCCTCCTGGGTTCAAGGGATTCTCCTGCCTCAGCCTCCTGAGTAGCTGCGATTACAGGCGCCTGCCACCACGCCCAGCTAATTTGTGTATTTTTAGTAGAGACAGAGTTTCACCATGTTGGTCAGGCTGGTCTCGAACTCCTGACCTCGTGATCCGCCTGCTTTGGCCTCCCAAAGTGCCACCGCATCAGCCACTGCACCCGGCCCATGTTTCACTTGTAAAATTAAGAATTTAGGCTTAAAAGGCAAAGTCCAGGAGTTCGAGGCTGCAGTGAGCTATGATTGTGTCACTGTACTCCAGCCTGGGTAACAGAGAAAAAAAATTAGGCTTACGAGGCATTTGAGGATGTGTTGGTGTTGGTGGTGGGGTTTGACTGTTGTAACAACTGGGAGTGCCTCTGGTATTTGTTACCTAGGACCAGTGATGGTAATGGTCCTGTAATACACGGGCCAGATTGTCACAGCAAAGAACCATCCTGCTGAAAGCCTGTAGAGCTCTTGATGAGAAACCCCAGGCCACCGCTAGGTTCCCTTTTAGGATCTTTCCAGCTCTAAAGTCAAAATTATCTGAGGAATTTCAGTGAATTAAATGCATCTTTTAAGCCATTGAGACTCTTTCAAATGTCAGGGACAACCTTTTGTTTTCCTCAAAATTAGTAGTGACTTTGGCTGGTTATAGACTTTAGCAAGCTTCCTGGACCAGGTGCTATACTATGGTAGGCCAACCAAAATTGAGAAATACAAGTTTGACTTACTCCCTTATTTTTTCCCCTTGTATTTCAGGTACTATTGGGATTTTCAGCCCCAAGGTGAGTCCTCTTTGACCACGTATGGTTTTATGCTAAAAATGTGTAAATGGGATTGTTTATTTCTGTCTCTTCTCTACAGACTTCTCCACAGAGTGGCATTAGCCATTTCCAAGAAAAGTTAGTGGAGTGTTTAATTAACCTTCACCCTGCTGTGCCCCCCTGCCCTGCTTTTTAGCAACAAAAGGCTCTATGCTTCTTCCTTCTGCGTGGATTGTTGCTAGATTATTTTATAAAACCAAGGCTATAATATGCTTTAATTCCTTGAGCTTTGTTAGGTGCCAACAGGATCCAGTAGCATTCAAATAAAATAGTAGCCGAGTCCATAATAAAAACCTTGGGAGGGTTCCAACTCAGCTAATCCTTCATTTGCTCCAGAAATAAATTCCAGTATGTTACCTCCTCGATCACAGTGCCCTTCCACACAACCTGCCTGTCTGGCAGCAGAGAAATGTCAGAAATGGAGCAGTGTTGAAATTCCCACTAGAACAGTGTTATCACATTTTAATATGAGCCTCGCTGCAGCCTCAGTGCTTCTAATTGCTTTCAAACCATTGTTTTCCTGCTTTTGCTTGATGAACCCAGCATCTGGCATGATTCTAAAAAGTACTACAGACAGCTGTGTGCAAAATTAAAAAAAAAAAAAAAAAAGGCCAGGATGAAAACACATTTTTAAAAGGTTCAGAATTGAAATTTTTTTTCTGAATTCAAACAGTTTGAGGGGATATCTTTTAAAGTATTTGCCTTCCTTCCTTGGTTGAGAATGTTGGAAATGTCAACCTGAATATTATCTTAATTTATTGTAAATGGAGGGGCTTTATTTTCTCAGATAATCAGAGTTTTAGATCAAACTTACAAATAGCTTTATGAACTATTTTGCTCTATAACTTTCTTAACCAATTGTACTTTTTATTCTCTTAATGTTGTCACTGTATCCAACCTCAGTGAATAGTAATACCTTAAATAAATTAAAATTGTGAGTGGTTATAATAGTTTTATTAAAATTTTTATTTTTCTAGCTCATACTTTTAGTGTATTTCAAGTTTTTATAAAGCTTTCTTTTAAAGCCATCTTTAAGAAATAAAAATCATATATTTTCAAAGCTTCTTGACTCTTGTAAGTTAAAGTGGGAGCACTTACACTATTTTACATAATGTGATGTGCTGTTACTATGTATCTCACTGTCCTAAAGCATTGATAGATGAAAACATAGATTGAGCAGTGGATAATTTTATGTAATAGTGTAGTGGTTTGCTTTGCAAAATGTGAATTGCACTATTCAGGGGATGGCCCTATAGTTCAGGGTTTAACAGATGTTAACCAAAATCCACAGGGAGAAGAATATGATTGTGAACTGGCAGAAATGAATGAAACTGTGAGGGTAGAATTAATTACCTAAAGGAGAAATAAAGAATTAGTGTCAGAGATGTGGTATAGGAATAGGTTGAGAAGAGAAAATAATTTTGGAGCTTAACACAAGAGACTATATGGGACTAAAAAAGACAAAGGGAACATCTTACCAGATTCTTGACATGGTGGCATTGCAGTCATCTTTCAACATAAAGCAGCTTCTACCCATCCTTTCTCTCTTGGAGAGAGGACAGAGGTAGAGCAGCCAAGGAGACAAGTGAAAATTTATTTAGAACAGAAAACTGTATTTGCTTCTTGACAGCAATTAAATGTATGTGGCAAAATCTTAGTGCATTTGGAAGTAAATGTAAGGAAAGATGATATAGAAAAACTCATGCCCTAGCCCCTAGTCTCATGCCTTCTCACATATTTTCAGGGATGGGGGGCATTAGTGAGAGGTAAAAGTATCTTTTACCTTGCCCTTTTGATCAGACCTTTGCTGATTACGTGCTTCAGAAGCTGGTGGGATGGGTAGGAGCAGTAACTGGTCTAGATAAGGTACAACAGGACAATTTAAGATTATGAAAAGATTAGAAATATGTAAGAAAGAGAACAACTAGCAGAAGAATCTTTAAAGCCCTTGAAAACTGGGTGGTGTTGGGATGGGAGTGAGAAAGAACAGAAATGATGGCCCCAAACTTTCTGAGCATTTTTGTCTGTGACAGGACCCTCTGTACAAGAAGATGATGGGATGAATTTTATTAACTCTGCATTTGCCTAAATACGCACTTGAGTTCTTCAAGATATTTGAACTAAACCAGGTCTGATGCCTGGAAGGAAAATAGTCTTTCATTATAAAAGATCCATTATTTGTATATCCTTTTAGTAGCACATATTTTAAAAATAGTAGCCTTGGCCGGGTGAGGTGTCTTATGCTTGTAATCCTAGTACTTTGGGAGGCTGAGGCAGGCAGGTGGATCACCTGAGATCAGGAGTTCGAGACCAGCCTGACCAACATGTACTAAATACAAAAAATTAGCTGAGAGTGGTGGTGCATGCCTGTAGTCCCAGCTACTTGGAAGGCTAAGGCAGGAGAATTACTTGAACCTGGGAGGTGGAGGTTTCAGTGAGCCGAGACTGTGCCATTGCACTCAAGCCTTGGCAACATGAGTGAAACTCATGTCTCAAAAAAAAAAAAAAAAAAAAGCAACCTTATCAAGATATAATTCACATGCCATAAAATTTACCCTTTTAAAGGGTACAAGTTAGTGGTATAGATATAGTATAGTATAGTATAGTACAGTACAAGTTGTGCAACCATCACCACTATCTAATTTCAGAACGTTTCATCACCCCAATAAGAAACCCTGTATGGATTCTAGAGCCCATTATCTCCAGAGGTAGAGAGCCCATACTCTTCGTGACTGTTTTTCACTGTCTCATTGCAAGGTTGTTGAGGGTTAGTAGTAATGTGTGTAAGCATCTAGCTTAGTACCTGGACATGGTTAAAAAAAAAAAAAAAGCCAGTAGTTTCTATTTATCATAATGGTACATTAATGGTAATTCTTTCTCTCACATTTCCACCTAGGTTTTCTTATTGGTCCACTGTCAACTTCCTGAGTGATATTTATTTTAAAAAGGAAACAGGGAAAATAAAACATGATCCAAAGAATATATTACTTTAATGTAGAGGGGATATAAATGGAAGGGCACTTTTAATGAGCTTAAACATAATTGGAGAACATGAAAAAGGCTTTTTGTTTTTACTTGACAATAAGACATAATATTGCTTTGATAATTCATGTCCTGCTTACTCAAAAAAATTTTCTATTTAATTTTTTACTTAAAGTTACGAAGAAAAGCCAGTGGAGTTTTTGCCATGGAATTTTTATAATTTCAGTAATCTATATCTAAAAGGTGATATTGATAAGGCAATATTAATTTTGCCCTTAGATTTGATGACACTATTACTTAAAGTTATTGAGCAAACTGATTTCCTTCATTTTGCTTCAGTTTCCTCTTTTATAAAATGAGTTAGTGACAATTTTTAATCAAAAATTTGATTATAAGGTATAATGTTTATAATTCAAAATTTATTGCTACAAAAAAAACTTCATGAGTATTAGATTGAATTTCCCACCAGAGGCCCAGAATCTAAAACAAATGACATAATATTTAAATAAAAATCTAGGGAAGACCATGGGAATATTATATATAATAATATCTCTTTTTCTGTCCAGTGATCACTCACATTACATTTGTAGTAGTGGTAAACATGGGTCAGTGGAATCTCTTGCCAACTTAAAGATTCTTTGAGTATCTCTGTAAGTGGTATAAAGGGTTTCTGAGAAAATTATTCAGTATATTTCAATACGAAAAAATTCTACTTTGTGAAGCTTAAAAATCTCATTTTGAAATGGCAAGCCTATATTAATGTCAAAGTAAATCAATGCCTAATAATATAGCCTGGCAGGCCAGGTACGGTGGCTCATGCCTGTAGTCCCAGCACTTTGGCAGGCTGAGGGCAGGTATATCACTTGAGCCCAGGAGTTTGAGATCAATCTGGGCAACATGGTGAGACCCTGTATCTACAAAAAAACAAAATCAGCTGGGCGTGGTGGCACAGGCCTGTGGTCCTAGCCGCTTGGGAGGCTGAGGTGGGAGGATCACTTGAGCCTGGCAGGTTGAGACTGCAGTAAGCCGAGATCGTGCCACTGCACTTCAGCCTAGGAGACAGAGCGAGATCTTGTCTCAAAACACACAAACAAAGAAATAAACAAATAAAAATATAGCCTGGCAAAAACAAATAGTGCTAAGTGAGTAAGGAAATTATAAAGCCATAACTGTAAATTGAGGGATTTAAGACGTTTACCAACGAATGTATAAACTTTATGTGCATTCTGAGTCAAGCAAACTATTTTTAAAAATGACATCTATGAGAGAATTAGAAATATGAACACTGACTAGTTATTTTATATTATTAGGAAACTACTGATTTTTTTTAGGTGTGGCAGTGGTATTACGGTTAATTTTTTTTAAAAGAGTTCTTTATTTTAGAGGTTAAAAAGAGTTCTTTATTTTAGAGGTTAATTTTTTAAAAAAGAGTTCTTGATTTTAGAGAGAGGTGTGCTATGATATTTAAAGATATAATGTCTGAGAAATAATATGGGAGAGGAGAAAGAAACAGGGTAAGTATAGATGAGACAAGATCGACCATAAATTGACACTTGTTGAAGTTGGATGATGTATATATGGGAGTTTGTTACACTGTTTTGTCTACTTCAATACATGGGTAAACTTCTCCATAATGCAAAGGTAAAAGAAAAAGGTTGAGATTGATTAAAAATGTAACATTATTCTTTTATCTCTGTCATGAGACCTAGTATATTAATGCATACATTGCTTTCTGCATCTGGATATAAAGTACATAGAATAGTGAACTGATTTTTTAAATTGCTGTTCAGGTTAATGTTTTATGATAAAAAGAGCCTAAGCTTTGAAATCAGACCTGAATTAGAATCCCAGCTCCTCTGCTTAGAAACTTTGTTAGCTACTGCAAATTACATAACTTCTTGAAGCTTCAGTTTCCTTATGTATAAAATCTCACTAATAATATCTACTTCACAGTTGTTATGAGATGTAATGAGTTTTAA